ACTCTCACCAGAATGGGCCTTTTTGACCCACTGTTTAAAAAATGGCTTATAAATAGTTAAATTTCCACTAATATATTAAGCGCCAAATTTTTCTAAGGAGAACACAATGTAATGCAAAATAATAGTAATTTTTACCAAAAAGGGGGACTTTATTGCGATGCGCGGGAGCAAACCCTTCCTGGGGTTTGAACACCACTTAGGAATACTAACGTAATTTTTACACAGCCACACAGTTCTTGTATACGTTTGTGGGACCTCAGAATAAACTAACTTACGAATGTAAAAATTAGCAAAAAAAGTGTTTGCTTTTTATTTAAAATTCTGTTTAAATTATTAAAAAAAAAACACACAGGAAAAACAACTAGTCTTTGTTTTACCTCCAATAATTGAGGTGTAAGATGCAATAAGGGCCCTTCTGTTAAAACTGCTTTCTGAGATATTGGCGTTAAAGTTTTTGATGTGTTATAACATTCTTGTTGTTGTAGTACATAAAGAAGTAGTATTTTTGTAGTATTGAAAAAAAATTGTCTACTGCGGAAAAAATCGTCAGATTACCAGTATTTGACGCTAATTCAACTGTGTTATCTATGTTTTTTCTGACTTACGCTTTTTTTGGAAATGTTCAGTGGCCCAAATTATGCAAAAAAAAAAAACGTTTTAAAAATGTAACTTTCATTTCGTAAAATAGTGTTTTTATATGAGTAGTATTTAGTTCCTTCAAACGATGTATTTCAATGTGCATACAACATGAAAATTTTGTACAATATGACAAAAAAGGGCGGCGGCGTGGCTCGGCGGCGTATAACTCTAGTGAACAAATCGCAGTTTTGCAGAATGAAACTTGGATTTACCCGGTTTTAGTTAAAGAATGAACTATATTTTTATAAAAATAAAAAATAACCATTGTATGTATATTAGGGTGGTCAAAAAAAAGTAAAGTCGGAATTCAAATGCTCTCACCCTCTAGACTTGTTCCAAGTATATCGACAAAATATAATCCTATTTTTTATTTTAAAATCGAAAAATATTTAGAGGTCGCTCAAAGCGCTCAAAGTTTTCCATGTATTTTATATGTGGAAAAACAACTGTTCGGAAAAATGCTATCGAACAATATTGGTTTTCAAGAATTCTATACCATTTCTATGAAAAGTTGTTTTTTTTTCAATATATTGGTAAACTTTGAGCGACCTCTAAATATTTTTCGATTTCAAAATAGAAAAAAAGGGGTATATTTTTTCGGTAAAGAGCAATCCTAAGGGGTGAGAGCATACAAATTCCGACTTTACTTTTTACATGCACTTTTGGAACACCCAAATGTACAATAGAGGGCTGCATGAATTCATTCAAACTTCCAGCCAAACAGAGTACCGTAGATTTGAATATTCTACTTCACATACAAAACACTCAGCGTTTGGAATTTTGTAAGTTATGAATATACAGTTCGTGTTAAATTTTCTACCTTCAAATGGAATAATGAGGTTATTCACACTTGCCTGGTTATCAGGTTATCTGGTTAAAAATTATAATTGTGTAGTGTATTTTATTGTTGTAAACTGAATAAAAAATATAACCACATAACCACATAACCTGATAACCAGGCAAGCGTGAACAACCTCAATGTGAATGAATGAATGATAAGCATTCAAATCATTCAAACTCATTTCATTCATTCGTTTTGTATATGAATAATTCATTAACCGTTTTGAATGAATGCATGCAGCCCTCTAATGTATACATGTAAGCCGAAAAAAATAAATGTTCGCCAGAAAAAATCGAATGCGTACGATCAGTTCATTTATTTGCAGAGCCATTGCGCCAATTGATCATTAAAGCCAAATAGTTATCAAACATTTATCGGTGATTGAACTCGCGTCGCACCTATGTATGTATGTATTTGATTAAAGCAAATGTTTATAAACAAATCAATTTAACTGCCATAGCACAAATGGAAAATCATTAGTTTTCTGCCGATTTTGGAGCAACTTTTTTAAAATACATAAGATGTAGTTGTTGTAATTGTCTTTATTGCTATCACGGGTGTTTCCGATGCATAATATAAGCCCGCATAGCCTTAACGTTGCCAAAAATGTACGCGTGCACATTAGCCCTTAAACATATACACTCGCACAAGTCACTAAGGTAAACATACCCTGCAGAAAAAAATTATCAATTGATAAAAAATAATCCACTTGTAGTTAGCTTTTTTGCGGGACTTCTATAAAATATATAACTGTAGTTAGCTACAAAAAGCTAACTTCAAACTAGTTGACAAGTAATGCAGGAGATTGTTTTCTTTAAACGCGTTGCTATTTAAATATCCAGCACCGCAAATAATTTTTCGAATTGAGGACACATAAAAGGAAGATCCAAAGTTCATATTATCATTTTGAAGTTACGTCTGACGGAGTTCGAATGTGAGACCAACTACAGCATGAAAAAAAAATAAATAAAAAAAAATTTGTTTTTCCTATTGAAATTTTATGGCCAAAAGTGGTTAGTTACATCGAATGCAGAGGTAACCACCCTTGACTATTTCGCGGCCATCGCCATAGAAATAAAGTCTAGCTTTTGTCAAAGAAAATATACCGATAATAGTGACTTTTAGCTCCTGCCTAATCAACTTAAAGTTGGCGTATAGTTAAGTACATTTCCGGCAGGGTATGTATTATAAAAGCACACTATAATATGTAGTTGAAGCGGGCCAATTGGCTATAAAGCGCAGGTACGTCAACAAACTATTGACGCGCCGCATTGCATATTTATTGAGTAACATCCAAGCAGCCGAACCAAATTTGCAAAAGTGTGTGTGCGTGAGGCGCGTCTGCTGGCGGCTGATAACAAAATGATTAATTTTTTAATTCAGTCGACGTTTTCGACGCACAATAAAACAAAGAATGTATGTATGTATATTCAGATACATTTGTATGTATGTCCACTTGTATGTATGTATATAGGTAGTAAAAATATGTGTATGAGTGCTACGTAACAACAACGCCAAAATTCTTTCATTTCAAATGAATTCAATTGAATTTAATTTAAATTGGACTTTTTTCTCGCATTTATTTATTTTATATGCAAAACAGTTGGCAATTTTCTTTCATTTTGGCAACGTCAAAGTCAACGCGTCACGGTAATAAAATAATACGTACAGTCGTGCAGCAAGATCCCCACAATTTTTTTTTAGACATTTATGTACATGCAAACATATTTATGTATGCCTATGCCTATGTTTGTTACTGGTGTTCGCGTTGTAAATAATTGTTAGACGAAACTTACGATTACAATAATTATGCGTTAATTGCGGTAGCGCCTGTGCTGATATTTCACTTTTGCATTTACATATTTATTTTTCTTTTTTATTATTCTGCTGTTGTAATTGATTGTGAAATGTGTAGCAAAAAAGCGTAAAAAGGAAGCACTTGTGTACTTGAAAATTAGTTAGTGTGCAGAATTTTAATTAAGCATCGCAGCTGTGGCGTTAGGGCTTCTAGTTTTTTTTTATGATTTTTTATTGGTAGTCGTATTTATGTAGGCTTTAAAGCAGCTATGTAGATACATACATACTTATACATTCTTACATATGTAAATCGACGGCAGTAAACTCTATTAGGAGTAAAAAAATATGTTTTCAATGGGTCGAATACGGATTGCAACCGAACTTCAGTTAGGTGGCCGGTGGCTGAAATGGTATTACAGACTGGCAACTGGCAACTTAGATACTATATTGGCAACTACATGTTTGTGGTTTCCGCAGAAATTTTGATTGATATAATTTATTTCTTTTTTCAGCTGTTTCTTCGGCTTATTTACACTCAAGTCTTATTTGAATGTTCTTCAAAATTTTATTACCTTCAACTTTATAGAACTTAACTATAGCCGCTATTCATAATATACATTTTCGTTTCAATGGCGTTGCCCATCGGCAACCCATCTGCGGTTGCGTTGCCATCCATAATCGACCCATAAATCTTCTTCTGCATTGGCATATAATGAGATACTTTCGAAGTGTAAAATTTCTTACTTGCGATAGGTCTTTGCCGGCCAATTAGCATTTATTGCTTTATAGAGATTCTGCCTTGAATTTAAATACAATCGCTACTTGATGGGCTCCGTACTGTTACCTTTTCTAACATCAAACGTCTCAGAGAGGTCCTTCCCAATTCTGGGGGGAACTACTTCAACTCATCCATCACTGGTGGACACACAGATTCGCAGGGCCATAAAAAGTTAAGAGTGAAATATTAGATGAGTCGAATGGCATCCAACGGACAGTAACAGGTATGCAGCTTTGTTATTTTTGAGCCACATTAATGCTCTTTAACTGTTGCTGTGTTCGGAAATATCGATTTCGTCTTTTTATCCTACCGATGCACAGTGGCTCAAAACTGGAATTTAGTGTTCACAATACTCTGGAGCCTTCATTTTTCACTCAATTTGAAAATGTTTTTTTTTTTTTAATGAAAGCTAACAAAATTTTCTGGAAATTTTTTTTTTATAACTTCTCAAGTTATTTTTGCTTTAATTATTTTTCGTTTTGGGAGAACCCTACAATTGTTTTCAACTAGTTTTTAATATGTAACTATTATTAACTAGAACAGGAGAATCGAGTTTCTTGGAAGTTTCAACTTTTTCTAGACGCCAGTCAGTTAGTAAGCAGCTCCAATTCCGAAAGTCTTAAGGTTCTGTACAATCCAACAGTCTTCAAGCTCTTAGCGCCAAATTCCTGCAAGCCAGCATTTCCAGCTCTTCACACTTATGTACCCACTATTGTTCCTTCGACTAACACGATTCGCTGCTTTTCTCAGTTTCCGCGCTCGCATACGGCTTGCGTTGCACCCGATCCCAGTCTAACCCTGTTTTCAGTATTTTTGTATTCGGCCAGCAAACTTGAGCTCCTCGGTTCAATTATCACGGAAAGAAAACTAAAAAAAAAATATACTTATATATATGTACCATTTTAAGGAGACTACTATCTTTTCAATCACACTTCTTTCTTGCAGACATTCCCTTAAAACTATTGCTGCTCACTTTGACGCTAGCCGCGGGCATCGCATGCACAGTAGGCAATGAGCAACCGGCACGCATTGTCTGCTACTTCAGCAACTGGGCTGTGTATCGCCCCGGACTGGGGCGCTATGGTCTCGAAGATGTGCCTGCTGATTTGTGTACGCATTTGGTCTACTCATTTATTGGTTTGAACGACAAGAGCTGGGATGTGTTGGTAATCGATCCCGAATTGGATGTAGAACAAGGTGGCTTTCGAAAATTCACGCAACTGAAACAGCAGCATCCACAGCTGAAGCTTATGGTGGCTGTTGGAGGTTGGGCTGAGGGTGGTTCGAAATATTCACAAATGGTGGCGGTGCGTGAGCGGCGGCTGAGTTTCATACGCAGCGTTGTACAGTTCATGAAGGAATACAACTTTGATGGTTTCGACTTGGACTGGGAGTACCCAGGTGCCACGGATCGTGGTGGCACTTTCGGTGATAAGGACAAGTTTTTATATTTTGTGGAGGAGCTGCGACGAGCGTTCGATCGTGAGGGCCGCGGTTGGGAAATAACAATGGCTGTACCGGTGGCGAAATTCAGACTTCAAGAGGGCTATCATGTACCCGAGTTGTGCGAGTAAGTACATCGTATTGGCAAACTATTTGAGGACGTAATTTTGTAATAAGAAACTTTCCACTACAGGCAGCTAGACGCTATACATGCGATGACCTATGACTTGCGCGGCAATTGGGCCGGATTTGCGGATGTGCACAGTCCGCTTTATAAACGCAAACACGACCAGTGGGCTTATGAGAAACTAAATGTGGTATGTGTAGCCTAAATTAGGATGGCGTTAAGACGTCACTTTAATACATTTCTCTACCACTTTACAGAATGACGGCCTTGCATTGTGGGAAGAAATGGGTTGTCCTGCAAACAAATTAGTTGTTGGCGTGCCATTCTATGGCCGCACCTACACACTCAGTAGCTCCAACAAGAACTATAATATGGGCACTTATATCAACAAAGAGGCAGGTGGTGGAGCGCCAGGTCCTTACACTAACGCTAGTGGATTCCTCGCCTACTATGAAATCTGTACAGAAGTACAAGACGCAGCGAACGGTTGGACTGTCCAGTGGGATGACCACGGTATGGTGCCCTACACCTACAAGGACACACAATGGGTGGGCTATGAGAACGAGAAGTCGGTACAAATCAAAATGGACTTCATCAAGCAAAGGGGCTATGCTGGCGCTATGACCTGGGCCATCGACATGGATGATTTCCATGGTTTGTGTGGACGCGAGAATGCGCTGATGCAAATTCTCTACGACAATATGCACGATTACATGGTGCCAGAGCCGACGCGCGAGACGACACCGCGGGTAAGTATGTCAAGTTTGGCGAGTGCAAATGATTAGCGGATTGGCTATGCTTTGACTTTTATATTTTGCGTAAGCAATTTTTGGCTACACGAATATTGTCAAGAGCCAATGCCAAAACTGCAGCACTATTTTATTTTATTATTAATTTGCAAAGCATCTGTAATTTATTATGCTTCTTGTTTATGTGCATATTTCTTGTAGCCCGAGTGGGCTAAACCGCCAGCGACGCCGCCGAATCCCGATGAGGCCAGCTTAATGTCACAAGATGTCACAACGAAGAGGCCGCACCCGAGCACAATACAAACAACAACAACACCGACGACGACGACGACGACAACGTCGACGAAACGGCCACTCGCCGACGAAACCACAACGACCAAGGTGAGTGGTATGCTTTTATTTAGGTATGCACTTAAATACATTCAGTAAAATAATTAAGATTAATGCAAAAATATTTGAGACGATTTTCGTATCGCAGCTAATTGTCAAATTGTTTGCTGAGTTGTTTGTTAGATTTGGGAATTCGCGCACAGAAACAAATATATGTAAATACATACATACGTATACGTAAATATGTGCATTAGGGTGGTCCTTAAAAAACCAAATTAACGATTTTTTTCAGTCTCAGTGGTCACAGATATCACATATAACTTCTGGTCCCCGCTGAAGACGGTTAAGGTGTGTCGCACAGCGTGCAAAGTTCAGATTCCTGTATTGAGACTCAAAAAATTAATATTAATTTTTTTTCATCTAATACCTAAAATCGATACTACCATAGTTGAAGATATCACGTATAAATTTTGTTCCCGATTCGACTCGGTTAAGGCGTGTGGCTAACGGGTTAAAGACCACATGCCTCTATGGAGACTCAAAAAATTCAAAATTTTTTTTTATTTAATACCCAAAATTGATACGTCTAAAGTCGAAGATATCACATATAAATTTTGGTCCCGATTGCAGTCGGTTAAGCCGTTTTCATATAATTTGAACTTTGACCCCTGTGCGACACGCCTGAACCGACTCCGATCGGGGCCAAAAATTTAAATATGATTCCTTCGACTATAATATCAGCTTCCAACAATTAAGGACCACCCTAATGTACATAAATACATTCACATTTAATTGTACGCATATAGAGGTGTGCGCATAGCATTGTTCCACTGGGCCATGCTAAGCCAAATACATTTCCCTATTTTTAGTCGGCCTGCTTGTGTTTGCAGAATAGCTTCCGCAAAAATAGAAAATTAAGGCACAGAAACTATAGAGTAGGCTAAAAATGTCAGCAGCGCTGAATAGTACGATGAGTGAACAAAAAATAAATTGCTAAATACTCGTAGTTTGAAGGGAGTCGAATAAAATTTATACATTTACAAATTTATGTATGTATTTAAAAGAGTGATCCAGGGAAAACTGAGAGGGATAAAATAGGGAAATAAAAAAATATAAAGGCAAATTCGAAACCATATCGCTATCGACACCCATTTCGATAATGATAACGTCAGCGGTAAAAATTTATTCTTAGCAACTGGGCTGGGAGTTGTATCCGGTTTTTTTTAATATGCGGATATTCCGGATATTCGAAAATCTTATTATCCGAAGATTGATTTTTATTCTGATCGCATGAATTCCGATCGGACGATGACCTGTCAGAAACTGCAAAACAAAGAGTGCTATGGGCTTGTTATTATAAGATGTTCCTTTCTACCGCCCGGATCCACCATTGTCAAGAGGGAACATTCAATTTCTCATGTTTTAGTTTTCGCCCCCAAAGTACGCTGGTATGAGACCCATCTGTTCAAAAGCGAGCCATAGGTTAGCTCAGAACCCTGATTACCTCTTGGAGTAGATGGAGAGCTCTTATAGGCAGCTTCGGTGCTCTGTTTTATCTTAGACCAATAAAATTACTTAAAGCGAGAGCCTCCATCTCTTACCAATGGAATGAATCACGGACAGTTCTTCTCCTCCAGCAAGTGGTTTACGACCACGATCGTAGCGGTTACGGTGTACCTGTGTGTCGGTTAAAGATTAGACTTATGGATTGGTTTCAACGCCATGAATTTCGTTAAGCTCTAGTCAAGGCCAGGGAAGGTACCGCGCGCAAATTTTATATGAGTGAGGAATTTCTTTGTCCATTTTATAATTGTTTACAGGGCGGTATTCACAGAGCTTCCTTTATTTGTAAGCTACATAACTAATGGTACTAATTTTTGTATTTCAGAAACCCTCAAAGGGTTCTAAGAAACCCAAACCACGACCAAAGCCAAGGCCAACCGTTGCAACTGCAACAACAACCGAAATACCAACTACGACCAGCAATGAAGCTGGTGAATTGGAGATTTTAGAACCCAAGCCAGAGGTCATTAGCACAACAGGGGGTAATCAAGTGCCCGACATTGACTGTACGAATAAGGATTTTATACCGCATGCAAACTGTCAAAAGGTAAGGTATTTGTAGAATTAAATTTATGATAAATTTTTCTATCGGCGAGCCACGAATCGGTTATATGTATTAAGAGTCTAAACACGAGCATTTCATTATAATAATTCGAGTAACAGCCGTTATTTTCGAATATCACACTAACAATGCATTAAACAAAAATTGAAATATTATGAAAAAACTTAACGAAATTCATTTTCCTCCTGCCAACATCCAACTAGTTTGCCTAATTGAATACTTACTCATATATTTGCAGTACTATCGCTGCGTGCATGGCGAGCCAGTCGAATTTGAGTGCAAGGAGGGCACAGCTTTCCATACAATTTTGAATGTCTGCGATTGGATTGAGAACAGTGACCGTTATTACTGCACCAAAACAAAGAAGAAGGCATTGACCAACGAGGCAAAATAATTTTTGATTTATTTAATGGAATCAAGTACAGAAAAAAAGTATTTACTTTGTAGTTTAATAGAATTTATAAGTTAAGAATTCGAATATATGTTTCTCCTATTTAAGTCGATCGAGTGTATGGTTTTATATGATTTTTTTTTTATAATAAATATTAAATATTTAAAAACCGGAAACTTTATTTTATTTAAGTTTAAGTATGTAAAGTTAGTTTTCTTATATTAAGTTTAGTGTTTCGGCCTCCAATGGGTCTTTATAATTCATCGCACTCAAGAAACCTTGGGCTTTTGAATATTTTAATCTATAAGCTCTTCAAATTGTCCATTAGCTTTTATTTTTGTCTCTTACTCATTCTTGTGTGAGTCAATGAAAAAGACAAACTGCCAACATTTCTCCACAACCTACACGTTTTCATTGAATTTTCATTCATGCGTTTCCCGCAGCAGCCACAGCAGCAGCAGCCCCAATACAGCGGCGACGCCTAGGTAAATAGTGCAATTTTCTACCTTGGCTTATGCTTGTTCTTGCATTAAAAAAAAAAAAACATTAAAAATAAATAAACATGCGCAACCAGATTAAGAAGATTAGCATCTTTCATACAAATCGAGTTTACTACCAGACCGAAACAGGCTTAGTAGCAGTTGGTAATGAAATATTAAAAATCTTTTGTCAGTGACTATAAAAAAGAGGATTTCTTATTAAATAAAGATATGTCGTCACCTGTAAGGCAAAAAACCATAACTAACAATTTTTTTTTTTACCTTAACGATGTGGGGACTTATAATTCGAAGCAATGCATTCAACAGTGCAATCAAAAAGTAAATTGTGGATTTTTTTTATTTGTTACGGCCTTTTGCATTTCAGGTGACGATATGTATTTCTACCAAACATTCAGCGACCTTTTGGCGCATAAAAATTCCTCTAACCAAAGTGCGTTAGACATGCGTGCGGCATAAAGTTTAATAAAATGTGGCATTCAACACATCGCTGGCACAGCTTGTATAGGTGTACATACGGACACACAAATCTGCATTCGGATAGTATAATTTATTTTTTTTGCACACTTTCTATTTAACAATGTTCGTAGTACTGCTTTCAGCGCTGTGTCTTTTTTGCCCACAGACAGCAGATATGTATGTATGTATGTACTGTATATTATTTTCAGTTTCTCTATTTCTCTTTGCCGTGCTTCTGTTTTTTCGCCAAGGAATCTAGAAGTGCTTTTCTTTTAATTATTTGCCTGCATAATTTTTCTTTTGAGTTTGATCCATTCTACAGCCGCACGTCAAAATAATTAAAAGTGGTTGAGTAGCTCGAAAAAATGATATTTATTTGCGAGTGAGAGCGGGCGAATTTCTAAATTTAAAAACTTGAGTAGAAATCACTCGTCGCATGGACTCAACAAACATTTTCCGTACGATGAGAACATGTCGTCAATTGCGTGGATTTTACGAGAAAAAGATAATAAATGATAACTTTTGTAATTCTAAAATATAAGTACATATGTACATATCTAATTAGTTGACTTGAATTTTAAATCATAAATTATAGCATAACCCAAAAAAGCTAAATCATAAGTCATAATTCATACATCATAGATCATAAATCATTCCTCATAAATTTTAAATCATAAATCATAATAAATCATAAACCGCAAATCAAGAATCATAGGTCATCGGTCATAAATCATAAATGGAAAATCATAAATCATAAACCGCAAATCAAAAATCATGAATCTTGAATCATAAATCATAAACCATAATTCATAAATCATCAGTCATAAACCATAAACCTAAAACTAAAAGTCGAAAATCAAAAGTCATAAATCTTAAATCAAAATTAAAAATTAGAAATCATCACTCATAAACAGAAAATCCCAAAATTATATAGTCAATAATCATAAATCATGAATTATGTAATTAATTAAATGAATCATAAATTGTTGAATAAATCGTAAATCACAAATCAAAAACTAAATCAGAAATCATAAACCACAAACCACAACCCATTAATCGCATATGTATATACATATGTATGTGTAACTGAAAATTTCAGCAAAATTTAAATATCAGCAAATTTGATTTGACCGCCGCATAGTGGCTTCTCTTACTTAGCCGCACAGCTTCTTTGTGCCTCTCGCATTTTAGCTCCCAGAAGATCTTCAGCGGATTGTCTTTATTTGAGTGAATTGCAATCGCACAACGGCTGTGATGCCAGTTCTAAGGCGCCAGGCGAAAGAAAAATGAGTTTCTACTCAAAATTTCACTACAATTTTGTCAGTGAAAAATTATTTGGACTATCGATATGAAAATATCAAAAATTTTCGCGGTCACAAGGTAAAAGTGTGAGATCTCCTTGCTATGTTACGAATTGGTTTTGGACCGGGAGAGATCGACCGACTCGTATAATCGTACTCGTATTAAAATATATATATTTTTCTGAATAAATTTTTTTTTTTTGTTACAAATTTTATAATTATTATTTTTTTTTTTTAATTTTTTTTTTTCTGTGCTTATTTAAAGTTTGACCATACGTGAAGCAAAACATTGTTCTAATTGATTGCTTTAGAAAACACATATTGATTAGCTGGCATTCGTTGAAAGGGACGCAAAGGATTACCCAAACAACGGATGTCCTGCTAAGCGATAAAATAAATGGAAAAATATTAAAACCAAATATCTTAGTGCTATTCGGGCGCAAATATATATTTTTACGAAACGAATTTTTAAACGAAAACGAACGAACGACGTGAAACGGCTGCGGATGAACGATTTTAGATTTGTGTGCTTTGTGTTCGGATTTTTTCGAGTTTATTGTCTGTCTTTCAACTTTAAAACAGTTATTGTTGCTGTATCTTAGTTTGGCAAATAAAATTTTTCGCATTTTTTTGCAGTGCATTTCACGACGAAAAATATAAATTAAAGTTTTATATTAATGCAGAATACGAGGGCGCAGTACCTTATAATATTTTTAACCTAACATATTTGAATAGTGAATAATCTTAATTTATGAAGTGGCTGAAGTACTAACGACAATCACAACAACTGGAGAAGAATACTGAGCAACAAGGAATTTTCGGTTTATCATGGGGCGGTTTACATTTTTAGTCCTTATAGGACTAATCCTGTCGGCCGTCTCATTTAATGGTAGGTGATTGATTGCCTCGATTTTGATATTTGCATAATTTGTTTTTTTGGTTTTTTGTTTTTTATTGTTTAACTGTGGTTATTGTTGTTGTTGTTGCATGCATAAAGGACATTAAGGACTGTGTGAAGCAAACTCAAAAACAAGTATTAGTTTTCACAAGACACAAAGAATTATGATATTCCAAAAGATATGCATATATATATGTATATTTGATCTCTTCGAAAGTGTAGTGAAAATTTTCGGAAAAATTCCAACTGAAAAAATTATATAATATTTCAATGTAGGCAAAGGCCAACACACAAAATTTTGTCGCTGTCGCTGATATTGTATGCCTTCAACTAGCAACACCCTAGCTAGCTAGAAGCAACAACAATAACGCGCTTGGCTGTGCAGGTCCGTCGTGCTGCCAACCGTCGAAACGCCCTCGTCCGCGCCCTCGCGCCCTCGCGTCCATCAACACTGTCGCTACCACCGTCAGCACTCATACAGCGAACACACAAGACAATACAACAACAGCAATCATAATGATATACCAGCAACAACAACGCAGAGTGAAAGTAGTCATAGCAATTTATTATGCAATTTTATTTTATTTGTGCTTTTGTTGTTGCTGTTGCTGTTGCTGTCGTTTTTAAAATTGTTTGAAAATATAATATTTTAAAAATATTTTCGATCGGAACAGGCTTTCGTATCGCGATTACGCGCTCGCATTTAAAACTCTGCTGTTCGTTGTTCGTTGGCTGGCGGCTTTCTTCGGCAGGTCTGAGTGTATCTGCGCTCGCGTTTTGCAACTGCTTCGAGTGTACACTTAACTGATGAATAGGCCAAAGATAAGAGACCGTTCTTGGTTGGGTTGAGTTTTTTGCATTTGCACAGATGATTTTCGTGCAAACGCCGAAGAACGATTTTCGAAAACTCAAAAGTAAAATAAAAAAAAAAAAAATTACATCCGAATTTGAATATCAAAGAGAAACGCTAAATCAAAGCGTGAAAATGGCAGTGAAGGCGACATTGGGCGACAGCACGTACTCATGAAAAGCAGGTGCCAGCAGCGTGGAAGTTGCCTCAACTACTTAAATACAAATGTATATACAAATGTATATATTTCGCACCTTTTGCCATTTAGAAGATAGTGCCGAAAGCTTCCAGTATGCGTCGCCGCGGTTTGCGCGGCGTTGATCATTTGTAATCATTTAATTTTAGCAAATGCAGCGCAAACATTTTAGCAAAAAAAACAAATCTGTATATGTGCGTACAAATTGTTGACTATATTTATGTTTGTATGCTTATGTAGCTATATATGTATGTATGTACATGTATGTATAAACCAACCTTATTATAACCTTCCAATGAAAAATTAAGCGAAAATGTATTGTTTAAAACAATTTTTTAGGTAGTCTTAAAAGTGGCAATGAAAAACGTTTCTCAATGTCGCGTAATAAAATTGTTCACTATGAAATAAATGCGTCAATATTCAAATTTAAAAGACTTAATTTTATAACCGACGTGAAATTTTCCTAGATTTTTGTTTTTATTCTACTATCAATCAAAAGTGTTAAGCAGTATGGCCAGTTATTATATTTTTTTTTCTCGGCATTTACAGTCTGATCTTAAAGTAGGATATATCGCTGTTATTGTCTCGAAGAGGAATTTTTTCCCCCAAAGTTCATTGACCTCAAATACTCCGCTCTAGTACTTAGCCACCAGATCTCAGTTCCTACCACCCTAACGTACCCAGAGATGTAAATTATTTCATATACAACATACAAATACATAATACAAAATACGTTTTTGTATTATCTATTTAAGTACATTTTTACAAGCGTATTTTGTATTTGTATTATAAATACTAAGCGTTATTTGTATTTTGTATTTTTAAATACTTTTTTCTATTTATCATTATTTGTCAGTCATAAAGTTTAGCTGTAGATACAACACTGCCATCCATTTTTTGACATTTGACATTCTCTTATGCGAATTATTAAAAATTTTATTTAGATTTACTCATGCTCTTCTCTTCATCTTCTTATTGCAACATACACATTAAGAATCTTTTGTTTAGTTACGGCCTTTTGTATATACATACATACATACTTTCAAATGTATTTACATTTTCAAAATATGTATTTTGCATTTGTACTTAAAATACTTTTATGTGACGTATTTTTATTTGACTATTTTTTACAAGTACAGTATTAGCTCGAAAAAGTTAACCAATATGTCCCAAAGGTGCCTAACTTTTTCGAATTATTAACTTTGCAAAGCGCATTTCTAAATTTAAAAAAAAAAAAAAAATAATAAACATATTTTTTAGAACATAACACGCTAAATTTATTTCAATGACTTAGTTTTCATCATTACAAAAAAACCAAATTTGAATTTAATTTGTACCAGCATATGGAGACTATACCCGACTATGACAGTCAAAAGTTCTTTTGCTTTTAAATTCATATTTTTCATATGTGACAATGAAATCAGTTCCCCTCATGTCTTGATCTTGATACAATATCTTTACAAATAATTTATGAAGAAAACACAAAATTGGACGGTTAATCTAATTTACGGTGACTTTTAACTTTTCCGTGATTCTACTGTATTTTTAACATCTCTGAGCGTACCACCCTAATGTTAGGAAATTCATCGAAAAATTTAAAAAGCCGTCTAATAGGTTTGGCCAAAAAAAAAAATTTTTTAAATTGCCTTGCAAAAATTCTTTAGATCCAGAGGTGTATGGCGAACTTTTTTGTTTGCTTGCAAGGTGGTAACGGTCTAATGTACATCTATTTAATGAGTCAACTTGACAACGTGACGTATGAGCAACTTTTACTATGGTTATGATTTGCCTTAACTTTCTTGTCTTTATACGGTCCAAAACAAAATAGTCAACGTAACTTTTCCCCGATAAAAGGTCCATATTGTTGCTAATCAAATGATATTCTCTTTGTTTTAGTGTTTAAACTGAGTCAGGCCCAAAAAAAATGGTATTTTTATCACAGTGAAGTTTAAACTTTAAAAGTGTTAGTGTTTGACCGAGCTTCTCCTCCGATTTGTGGTGTGCGCACAAAGGGGAGGGACCTACAGTTTTACGCTGACTCCCAACGGCGATTGTGTTTTTTTTATGAGGGCTTGCCATTTCCTGCCGAGGGGCGACCGCTACTAGACAAAAAAAAATGTTTGTTTATTGTTTGATGTTAAGTGGAATTGACTTGAACCCAGGTCCTGAGAAATGGTAGAGCGCACTGCTAACCACCACACAAGAGTGTTTATATAACAATATGTCGAAATAGAAAAATTAATGGATATACAGATAGCAAAATTAACCGATATCCGGTAAATAAAAGAGAACTGATATTAACTGGATGTCCGGATTATATCCGTTTACACGAATATTTGAGATTAAGATAAAGATTAAGATTAAGATAATTGTTCATTATTATGGAGAAAATTTTTTATACAATATAGAGAGTAATGCGGCTAAAACGAAGAAGAACTTTCACTTCAGTCGTGCGTGGGATCCGCGTACAACTTGTTTGCTACATTCATCCGCTCTTTTAACAAATCAAACGCAGAGACCAAAATTTGCATTTGCACTTATACGAATATACAGGTACATACCCAGTCGGAATAACATTTTTCTAACAAGAAAATATTAACAACGGTTAAATGAAAAGACGCTTCGCAATGAAAGCGAGCGGATAATGTGTAGTTTTGAAGCCGCAAACAAACAACAAAAAGTTTGAGAACTAACTTAAGTGCATATGTATGTCTATTTTTCGCGTTATCTCAACAGCTGCTGCAGCCGAATGGACACATGTTGGTGGGTGTCACGGGTTCAAACCCTGTGTCATGGACGTTATTTTTTATATAAATTCTATATATATAGTTTTGTAAAACGTTAACGATATGCGACGCATTGCTTTCGTATGGCAACGCTGTTTTTGTGTATAGGTCATAAGGGCGATCCATTACTTTGTGCATTCCCAAACATTTTATTTTCCCACTGGGTATGTTCTTATGTACAATGTATGTATGTAAATTCAGATATGCACAACTTATTTGTTTACCTAAAAAAAAATCTTTGAAAGCTGAGAATTCACGAGAGCTCATCAACTGACAGCAATCAATTAATTTATTTGATAATTTGCTAAAAACCTACAAACGAAAATGTGTTGATCCCTTGGGTGACCGTGAAAATTAAAATTTTATGCTGGACATGTGTGGGCGAATGTGAGCGAAATGAGCGACGGCGAGTGGATTTTGTGACGCAGATTTGAACAGTGAACCGAAACAAAATGAAAGCGACAAAAATGAGAAGAGAAGTGGTTAAGTAAAAGTATCTAAACTTTATAGAACAGTGTGAAAAGTTTAAGAAAATGGATATGTACGTGTGTAGGTGCGTAGTATGTAAATATGTATGTATGTGGATATGTATTTATAAAAGCCTTCATGTATTTATTCAGCTTACGTGTGTAGTATGCTAGCATTG